GTGTGTGTGTGTGTGTGTGTGTGTGTGTGTGTGTGTGTGTGTGTGTGTGCGTGCGTGTGTGTGTATGTGTGTGTATTTGCAGCATTATTGTGGTTCAGGTTAGATGAGGGATCAGATGAAAGGTCTCTGTCAGGCTCAGACTCCACTGCTGGTTCATAACTAGTTCAAGCATGAACAAAACAAGTCACTCGTTTAATGGAATGTAAAACACACTCACGCTGTTCTAAGTGGAGGCGTTTAGAGAGTTTAACGCTTGTCTAGAGGACGAGGCTTGTGTTTCTCAGACGGACAGAGAGCGTGTGGGTTTTCACTGTGTATCTGTGCTGTCAGTCAGTCAGCAGCTCGGAGAGAGTTATACAGTGTTTCCTACTGCAGGGGTTCCCAAACTGGGGTTTGTGTGTTGATGAAAAGCTAATAATTATTTAAATCATCATAAAAATTAATGAATACTTTTAAAATTAATGAATTTGAATGAATAATGAATATCAATGAAGAAAACGTTTATTTGTTGTCTGAACATATAACAAATTTGAATAATAATCAGCAAGGAATATACAATAAATACAATATATAAAAAATTAATATTACGAAATCATTATAGGCTATTCCATTGACATTTGCATTTAACCTAAATGTAGGCTACTGTAAGATCTGAAATGTATTTTCTTGCCGCTGAATTACATTTTGAAATATATTATATTATATATATAGGTACATAAAGTTTGATACTAAATATATTTTCATTTCCAAAAATATATATAATTGAGCTTTACTGTTTTCAACATACATTTAGCATATACTGTATTTAAAATATATTTTGTACAGAAAATATGTATTTTTTGCCATATGGGTCAGCATTTTTGTATGTAAAACAAAAACACTTGAATGGATGACAAACGCTAACTTGAAGCTTTTGTGAATAGGTGATTATGCAAATGAATTACTGAATTTAATTTCTGAATTGATTCATTGAGATTAATCTAATTGTGCTAATTATCCTGCATATTCTTTTTGCACCGAAATTCTTCCTCTTCGCTGCAGCTCAGATGTTTGTTTTGTTGTTTTGGAAATCTCGATGGAGAAAATGAATGAGTTTTTAGTCTCCATTGAGCTCTGTGTTTCATTCAAACTAATGAGATTTAAACCTGCAACCTTGTGGTTACCAGCACAGATCGTTAACTACCTCTAGTAATGACTTGATAATGCTGTTGACTGTAGAAACCTGTATATAATTAAAGATAAACTCTAATTCAGTGTGGTGATCTAACACACACACACACACACACACACACACACACACACACACACAGACACACACACCC